TTAAATAAATTATTGTGTTTAATGGCATGACAGTAAAATTCTTTTATTAGTATTTGTATTGTAAATCATGAGTAATAACCAGGAAAAAATATTGGAACTATCCCGGCATTGTAATTATTTAGTGGTACATTTTAGCCCAGGGATATAAGTTTTTTTCGTGACACTTTAGACAAATTAAGGTCAAAAACGATAATTTTTTGCTTTTTTCGTCTACCAGCTAAAGTAAAGCTTTTGAAACAAATTTGAGAAGAGAAGAAACTTATAATAAAATCTTTAGAATGGCGTTTTCTAAACGTTCCTATCCTTAGTTGTTGCTTAGAAAGTTGCAAAATAAGTCAAAAATTTCGATTATTTATTAATCCTAGAATACGGGTCATTCGTAAATTTGGCGACACTCAAAATACATTGGGCATTTTCTCCCACTCTCGTTTATTTTAACGATTTCCTCAATTGAGTACCTTCCTGATGAATATCGAGCTTGATAGTGTCGCAGACGGTTATTATAATTTCCAATTCTAAGACCATATTTCGTCGCGTGGTTCGTAATTTTTACGAAAGTCCCGTGTTTACGTCATGTAATAAATCAGCTGGTTCTTATTGTTTGTATTTTGATTTTGAGTGTTTAGTAACAAAAAATTAAGATAAATTGTTTTTTCTATTCTCATTACATAATATACTATTTGAGTTTTTCTTATTAGGATGTCAAATAAAAAGTTTTATTAGCGGCACATATTATGAATGGGGAAGACAGTGATCCAGACTCGTTTGAAGGTAGTGGCAGTGACTGGGAAGAGGGCAATTTGGAAGCTGAATCCTCTGGCTCCGATAACGAGGTTGATGCGAAAGTATCTCCAGGTATCAATATATGATTGAGTTAAGCCTTTGTCTTGCAAAACCATGGATGCTAAAAAGATACAACACTGCAAGGTTACGTCAAAATATTTGCAATAACATAGCCGAAATCCTCAACATAACTGAAGGAGATGATGAAAATATGGCCCATGAAAAGAAGAGAAAGACTTGTTTCTACTGTCCAACCAAAAGAGCACATGACCACCAACTATTGCAAGAAGTGCAAGAAGCCAATTTGCGGAGAACACCAAGGAGATAATTGTACCGTATGTTCCTGAAAATACTCAAATATCTTCGTTTCATAATTTTATGCTTTTGTAAGATATACTAAGAATCTTAATTGTTTTCTATATAATGAATAAAATTCGGATCATTTTGTAATTGGCATAAGAATTCGGGCTAGAATCTCAAATGCGAAGAAAGATAGAAGTACCAAAACAAGGCGCCTTAATATTGAACTCCTCAAAAATCCGCAAACGGTAGAAAGGTTTCAAAACTATATCGAAACTAAATACACAAATAAAGAGAATCTAACAATTGGTGAACAATGGGAAATGTGTAAAAATTATATTAAAGACGCAGCAAATAACATTCTAGGGCCGCAAAGAGCACCACCACGCAATGAGTGGTTCGACGATTAGTGCGAGGACATTACAAGAAGAAAAAACAATGCATATAAACTGATGCAGCAAAGAAAAACCCGAGAAAAAGAACAAAAATATAAAGATCTCAGAAGAGAAGACATCCATCGAAGAAAAAAGCGAACTTATGAAAATAAAATATTGGAAGAACTTGAGGCAAGGAAAATCAAACAAGAAAATTCTATAAAAATCTGAATAATGCAATTAACAATTAAAATAACTTTTTAATCATTGACAGCAAAAAAACTGACTATATTTGGAAAGCCTGATTTTTTTACAAATTTAAAAGGAAAAAAGTTTACCTAGGACACTTTGTGCCTTTTTTTATCAATTGATAGCAGCTTTGTTTATAAGAATTAAAAGACCTTATTAGAGTCATCTGAAAGAACATACTTTTAGGTTTTATTGTGAAAAATTTAGAAAAGATTGCATTTTAATGGAAACGTTTACAAAGCTTCAAAATGGTGGTCCTCAATTTGGTCGGCTTAGAAAACTAGTGAGAGCGCAAGATGGGGAAGAAACTGTTATCTAACTGTATCTATGTTTCTTGTTTATAGATTTCGACGTTTCTTTTTTTAATTTGTATGTACTTTTGCGTTAAATAAACCATTTAATTTTGTTTAAAGAATTTTTTTTCAGTTTTTGTTGAAAAATTTGAGGTAATTTTTATTGTAAAAAATAAATATTTAGGAATAATATATACTTCTTCAATAAACTTTGTAAATATTTTATTTATAATAGATTTTATGAAAAAAAAAACAATTATCCTAGTTAATTCTTTCTACTTTAAAGTACTTACTAATATTCTTTAAAAATAAAAAACCTCAAAGAAAAATTTAAGATTTTTATCAATGTAAGAATTATCCCGATGAAAAAATTTTTATGGCAACCTATTTATTTATTTATTAATGTTTATTTATTTAACACTTTTCAAACAAATTATTAATTAATATATTTTTGCTTAACAATTACTTTCTTTTAATATTTTAAATTATTCTTAGACGTGATTTTTGTGTTTTTTTCGTAAAATACTTTAAACTTAAAGAGCAAATAAACAATTAAAAATGCCGATTTTAACGTTTTTCAATGCCATTTTTCAATATGTTTTACATCGAATTTAAAAAACAAAAAATATGAGGTGAAAATTTACAAAATATGTTCAAAATGCGCATGTCCATTTTGAATTGATATAGCATATGTCAGTTTAAAATATTCATAAACAAATTATTATACCGTTGCGTTTTGGGATATATAGACTTGACAAACATCTAAACTTTAAGTTCAAAACACATTGTTTATGTTTTATCCATAAGCTAAATCTTATTTTAATCGAAAGAATAAATATTATGCTATAACATTACAGTAAAAAGTTAACCCAAAGTTTACCACGGGAAGCTGTTTATTTATAACAATTTTTCAACAAATAAAAAATTTCATTTGTATTTGGACTATTTATTCGTTTTTTATATATTAAGCAAGCACCCGTGGTATACTTTGGGTAAACTTATTACTGTTGTAACCGTTTCAAAAGTTTTAGGAAATTCATTATAAATTCGATTATTTTTTTTTAATAAAACTGCTAACCCTATCTATCTGCCGGGTACTTGTAGCCGGCTCAAGGTTTCTACTGTAATTCTAAACTTATCCGGTAGATGAGAACGATTATTAACTTGTCAATCACGCCCCAATTCAAACCGGTAAATTATAGCGTCTGTCTCTTTTCTCTTACAAACATCCAACTGTTAGGACGTGTTTTGTGAAGTGGGTCTCTATATAGAGGTAAGCCAAAGAAAAAAGGCCTTTTTGTCTATATTTTCAGATAAATAAATATTTTTAGACCTTTAGCGGGGAGGATAAAGATCATTGATTATGTTTATTTGGCTCGAAGTTAACTGAGAAGTCATATGCTGTCGTAAACGCAGCCCAATATTTCATTATGATCTAAATGGACCCCTAATAAATAATTTAATGAAATGCTTGGAGGGTGAAAGGAAACAGAGCATATCCCTTTTGTATGGTTGCCAGCTATTGGATGATTAAGGTTGTATAATTCTTTTTTTATTATATCCTATCGAGAAAGCGAGAAATAATTATGGACTCAGAGAAAGAAAATATAGCAGTGTTTTAATTTTGTTTAAAGATTTAACTTTTCTATTATGCCTAGTTAATAAATAACTACTATAATATTTTAAGTGTAAACGAATTTCGAAATTTGGAAATAATATATAAATTCATTTGTTTTTAATAACCAATTCTTGATTTAATACGATATAAAGTTGTTTTGTTTATAGTAATGTAATTATGAAATGGTATTTTAGTATCCTTTGGGAATAACATAACTTTTAATGTTTCTTTTTATTACTGAGAAATAATAAAGTGTAATTTCGCTGTAAACTTTCTATATATCTTATTTTTTATTCTCTCTCGTCCCCTACGAGGATAAACAGGGGGTGGCGTCCAATAATAAATTATAATTTCAGATTATCTGATTGTGTTTGGATTTTTTAGATACTACGTAATTTCTATACATTTGACCATACCCCGCAATTTCTCTCCGACATTGAGCGATTCTGGTCTTGAATTTAATTTGTGTACTAAATGTTTATTAAGCATCTACGCTACACTGTAATATTGCAGCATCACATACTTCCGATTCAAATAAGATTAAGATTGTTGTAAGAAATAAACGATGAGTTTGAAACGTTAAATTCTCCTTAGATTAACGAAACCGAAAGAAATTCTCTACGTTCATCAAGTCTTTATATAAGAAGAGCAAGAGAGCCAATACCGATCCTTGCTGGAGGCGATCATTCGGTTTCATTTGAGTACTAGTATTGTCGACGACGAGCATTTATATCATCAGTGATCTTCCGGCCTAGTACAACATGCACTACTCTATATATTACTCATTGTCCCTATACAGTGTCGTATGCAGCAGATCAATTAATAGACAAGTCTTTAAGTGTAAATGGGTAGTAGTTTTTAGGTGTTAGTCTTGGTTTCTTATTTTAATTTTTTTAAATAAACTAAAATAAAAAAAAATAAAAAATAAAAACAAAATAAAAAAAATAAAAAATAAAAAATCTTAACAAATTAGAAGCGTTTGAGTTATGTTGTTGCCGTCCCATGCTCAGAATCCCGTGGACGGCACACATATCTAACGAACGTGTGCTAGAGACCGTGCACAAAGAGCCAGCATTGATCAACATCATCAAAATGAGAAAGGTCCAATAATTCTGTCATATAATGAGAGGACCTAAATATCGCTTACTCCGGTTAATCATTTAGGGCAAAATCGAAGGAAAACGTGTTGGGTCGGAAGAAAACAATTGTCCTGGCTGCGTAACATTAGTCAATGGACAGGTCAAACGGTCGAGGAACTGTTTCGTCTAGCTGCCGACCGAGAATCATTTCATCAGCTTGTCAATATGACGATAGCCAACACTTAAATACAAGCGCAGCACACAAAGAAAAAGAAGATTAGTCTTGGTAAGGAAAGATAGTAAGTATTACTTAAATTTATATTTTTTCACATTTCTTGCTTTTTTACGTTGGATAGCATTATTACTAGATTACATAATAAATAACTAAATTATAACATGTAGGACGTTTATAATTTACATTATGTTTTTTTATTTTCATTACTTATTTTAAATATATTATAGCTTTACTTAGTTATTGCATATTCGGCTTTTGGTAGTCCCCATATACCTTGCCTATCTTCTCCTTGTAAAAGACTTAAGAAATGGTTACTATTTTTCATCATTCTTTTTATTCTATTATCGTTCGCTTCTTTTGCATTTGGTTGGTAATTAAGGACACATTCTTCTTGAACCACACTATCAAGAGATCCTGGTCGATGATACCTGAGATTCTTTATAGCTTGATCTGCAGTCATTCTGTGGAAATACATTAGGTATATAGACACCATCACACCGGTACGGCCTAAACCCATTCTATCGTGAATTCCAACCGGCTGAAATATACAGACACAATTTTATTAAAATATTAGATCTTATTGAACACCAAATAAAAAACAGTTATTTAAATCAACTCTACGAATATTTTTCTAGCCCAGTAAGATGTAATACAGACACCCAAAAATGTAAAGAAATGCAGTTACATGTTATAAACTGAAAGGAATATATTTTTTCTTCAAACGTCAAATAATGATGACATTACTTATCTAACTTGATCCTGTCAAACTTTGATGTCTCCGCCGGCAGCAGTTTTTTTTTCCATTTCTTTACGGGGCGGAGGGAAAAATGTTGTCATGGCAACAATATGAAACATGTCACAAAGCAACAATACAAATGTCATTAACAACAATTAAACATCATTTTTTTTATAGTAATATTAAAAGTACAATTAGTTAATGAGGCATTTTCAAAATTGAAACCGTGCAAAAATGTTCCCTGCTCTTGATACGCATTGGTAATTGTTGATGATACTGATGGTCGAGAACAACTTTCAGCAATCACTCAAGATGTTGGCGAATCATGAGGGTTTAAAAATGTTTGAGCATTATCGTTCTTATTTCTTATTGAATCCTCTATATATTCTTCGGCAACCGTGCTTGATTTCCAGCCCCCTGTCGTTTGAGGCATTCTAGGTTTCCTCCTCCATTAATTAAAAGTGTTGCTGAAGTTCGTCTTAAAGAGTGACCCGTGTATGCGCTTGTGTAAAATAATGGGTAATTGGAGCGTTATATGAGGGTAATGGAAACGCTGTCACCAAATGAAATACACAATAGATCCTCAAGGGATGCTAACCCTGCGAGCGGCTGCAAGGAATACTGGTCACACTGGTCTGGAGGGCTGGCTCGTCTTCGTGGATTTACGAGAAGATAAGGGATTTCGGGATAGGGGTAAGAACTCCTCGGTCTCAGGTCCTGTAAAGAGTAGAGGTTATGGGCTTACTTTGGAAGCCGGAGATATGTATACGCAGAATTCTCGTGTTCTCCTAGTCTCTAGTGAGTCGGACGAAGGAACATTAAAAAAAAACCATATTAGAGTCAACAATATATTGAATCTACCCTGAAGTTCCTAATACAATCGTTAACACGTTATTCTGCGCGTCGGGAGACGATGTAGCAAGATAGTGAAAAGTTGACAGAGGTACAAATATAATTACACAGGTTAGTATAAGAAATCTGTTACCTTATGTGTATATTAGGGCTTCAACCACGACACGTTCAGTCTTCTGGAACTCGGTCAGTTGAGGGTTGCGAACTTTCGAGCTGCCACAATAACCGGACTACACGCGAATTCTGACAGAAGATACCCGGCCCCCGGAAAATCACCGACTGTCTCGCGTACTGGACGCTATCGCGTCCGGCGATCACTGCCCTGGGCGGGCAGTTACGGCGCCCCCCGTTATCACTACTGATTGACTGACTACTGACTACCGACTGTCTGGCGTCCGTCGTTTTTTCTTGTTTTATTGTGGTCGTACTTTCAACGCCGGTTCTAGTACCAAGGTCGTAGGTTCGCTGAGTTGCAGTTTTGGCGTTATGTGCCTATTTGGGTCACGGCTGTTGTTGTTAATAGTTTCGTGCTTTTTATACGTTTAAACAATTATCAAACAATGCCATAACTAGGTCAATTGTTATACTTTGTATAATTTAAATGTATAAGTTAACTGTATTAATTATCCCTTATTTAATTTGGAATATATAATAATTATCTCGAATAATTATTATCTTTTCTATGCTACTTATTGTTCCATTATCCCTTTATTCCAACTTCTCACTCACTTGCTACGCTTACATTACATTACTCCCTACGCAAAAAAAGAAAAGGGCCGAGGGGCCTTTTCCTTTTCCAACAATAAATTTATCTAGTTACATATTATATTACTTATAATCTACTATATATATTTTTTATATAAGTCCCAATTTATATTTTATCATTTACTGTTTCTTATAGACTATTGTACCGTGGTCAGCGAATGTATCGTGCTGCCCCCGTATTGAACCTATGTGTATGACAAGTTGAGTTAATCTTGTATTAATCTTATTGAAACTTAACAAGTGAAAGAACTTTCCTAACTTATTACAATTGTTCGTGATTACATGTGTCCATTACGACAAGCGTATTCTAATTGTTCTATACGATTGTACTCGCGTTTTGCGTTCACTTTATCGCGTATCCCTGAGGGAATTGTCCGCACTTCACTCGCGACGTCTTGGCTGTTTTAATGTCCGTTTGCCAATTCCACGTGTCGAGTTAACTATATTGATGCGTAACTGCTGCTGTCTGCCTCCATTGGTCTGTCCTTGCTGGGTGGTCCTCTTAGGTTGCTACTGCTTTGCTTTGTCGCATTATACTTCTGCTATATTGGTATCTGGTATGTGTTTGCTGCATGTGTACCCTGGCCTGTTCTGCATGAGTTGACTGACGGCATTAGGTAAGGATGGGGCCATTAGTAATCTGTTTTTTTTTTTTAATTTCTCTTTTTGTTTGGCATCGTCGCAGTACTGTGTCTAAGTATAGCTTTTCTATTTCTCTTTGGTAGGATTGTTTGGTGTAAAGGAATTTGCTAGTGATGTAGGTCATTAGGTCTACGTTTTGAGGTAGGAATGGCATACTAGGATTTATTTTGTGTTTACTAGGAAATTTATTAGGGTTCGGCGGTGTTTAGTTTGTCATACTTCTGTGTTACATATTATAGCCCTTTTGTGTAGCGTTAGAGCAAATATGTTTTTATCTTGTTCTACTATTACCAATTCCTCTAGTGATTGTTTATTAGTGATCTTTTCAACGTGCCCTCTGTAAAGTTGTGACAATTGACTTTCACAACTGTTGTGTTTGTATTGTTCCCAGGTTATTTAGCCTATTGTAGAGTCGTATCGATCGGTAGCGATGTATATTTCAGCATTCTTCTGCTCCCATCTTCTTGATGTAGCTGTCTAGTCCTCCATTGACTATGGACGTGTGGCTGTACATCAAACAGTGAAACATGAGTCTCTCCATCGTGATGAGTCTCTCCAGTGTCACAAATCGCACTGTTATTACTTCCCGAACGGTCGCACTCCCGTAAGCAGACTTTAGTTCGCATTAGTACTTTTTACGCGTAATTCAAATGCACCTTAACCTATAAATACATGTATAGCTGCTTATTGCAGACAATTTTAGTGATAGCCCTACCTACATCTGAATTATAAACTAACCTACAGTGTATTGCATATTATTGTGCCTAATGACTATAAACTGATAAATAAATTGATATCTAAACCAATATTAATATGTTAATAATTGGGACTTGTACTTTTTAAATATTTACAATTTAATATATCATCTTTCTGTTATGTATACACCCTGTATATTAGAGTCATATATTTTTACTTCTCAACTTGTCATCACTTATTGTATATAGTTACGTATGTGTAACGAATTTTCCTTATTTGAAAAATATTTTAATTACTATATTTATTCTTAATAAAGAGTCAGAAAGTATTGTAATAATTTCTCACTCTTTTCCAAATCTTTTTAAAATAATTCAAAGGTGGAATTTATTTTGATTTCTCGTCAAACACAATGACCTGTTTTCAGTGTTATGATATTTATGTTTCAAGGCTATTAAACTATGTTTTGCTGAGGCCTGAATTTTTATATACTCACATTGTTGATGAAATTTGATACTGACTGATATAATGAACTCTTGGTGTCTGTTATAAACTACAATATTTATTTTTTTATTTAATTGTTACGTTTTTTAAACTTGACCTTTATTAGTTGTTTATTTACCAGTGGTCTGACTCAATCTTTATACTACTTTCTTAGTTGATAGGAATTAAAGTCTGTCAATCAGTTTTGACATAGCAATAAAGGATTGGCGTATGGTATCTTACCGATCCAGCTCTTACTAATCAACAGCAGCTTAGACCCCTATAAACTTTAAATTAATTTACTTATTTCTCTTTCTTAAAACTTGATTTTAGTTATAATGTACTATTATGTTTACAAAAAATTTGTTTTCATTGAACTGTGCTAATATTTAACTATGAATGCTTATATTACCTGTGTTTTGTCTTTCGTTCCTTGTTGTTACTGGCGGATTTTCTTACCTCTCAACATTGTGTACTACTGTTGGGCAAAAGTTTATTTATAATGAACACATTAGATGAGCGAGATAATAAGCTGAATATATTACGTTAATAATATATTTTTTTTTTTTTTTTACTTTTAACTTATACTTGTAATGGTATATCTTTAAATCGGATTTCTAACTTTATTGAGTTCCTTGTTAAAATTTTAGTATTATTCGAGCGGCCGTCTCTTGTAATACCAAGCTTTCAATTTTTCTTATAGTTGTTTTGATATTTTTCGCTATTCATCTATTGCGTCGAAAAACATGTCTGTGTCCTCATCGCTCTGTGTTATTTTTGCTGTCTCAATCTTGTTTATTATTCTGTTGTATGTGTTCCATCCTTTCTTTTTCGTTTTGTGGAATATGCCGCAACGTTTTCTTTCGGGCATCTTGCCTAGTCTATTCTTTATTCGTTCTGATCTTTTTGGTTGGCTGGTGTCTCCCTGACTTCCTTTTCTTCTTCTCTGCTGTTTGTTAATTGGAGTTCCTGGTTCCCATAATGGCAGTGTTGACACCTTAGACGGGTCAACTCTTTCTTCTTCCGTCTCTTCTTTTTCTTTTTAATTCTCCTATTTCTTCTTCCTCCTCCGTTGAATAATTACTTGTTTTATTCTCGTAATATTTCTTTAAAGTATTGACGTACACTACCTGTCTATTTTTTCCCTTTTTTGTACCTACTGCATACGTCACTGGTCCAACTTTTCTATAATTTGAAATGGTATGGATAGTACCATTTTTCTGTAACTTCTTTGAAAGACTTGTCGTGCTACCTAAGTCTCTCAGATATACCTTGTCTCCTTCTTCGAATTCTCTCAATTCAAATTTTATATAATTATATTCTCCTGTATTTTTCTATACACTATTTCCATTTTTCATCCATGTCCT